GGTGTAATGATTGTTTAAAAATATATTTGTTGTTTTAATCATTGTGTACTCAAAATAATTTTAGTGATAATATGGAAGGAATTAATGAACACTCAGAGCCTCACGGTCTGAGGAGGAGAAACATAATTTAATAAACTTCAAATAATATTTGTTCAGACAAATGTCCAGGGACATTCAAGAAGAATCTCTCAAGCGTGAAAATGCATTACTTTAAGATCACATTTCATAGAAGAAGTGGAACGGGAATAGAAACTCAAGGAGAAAAAGAAACGATGTAAATTTTCATCCTATTAAAGAGGAGCTTGAGCATGTCCTTTCTGAAGTGGATGCTCGGAGCAGGTGACACTGCCTCTAAGTGTACTGGTACATTGAAATGAGTGACGTGAAAATTTTCTTTGAAAGACATAATCTTCACATTTTCATGGATAAGAAAATTAATGTCCAAAGGTATTTAGCGAGAACATAGGTATGACCAGTCCACGCGGGACCAGGCTCCCAGACCGGAGGCCCAGGCGAGGGCCCTATGCGAGGCTGCTTCTCTGCTTCTCCTTTTTCACCCAGTTGCCAGTTATGCAAATTACCTTCCGAATTCCGCTTGCATGTATTGTCTTTTTTAATTGCCATTTCTGTTATCCTAATTTACTGCTTCATTGCTTCTCTTTAGAAATCCAGTTTTAGCCTTCTCCCTAGCTTACTTCCAAAACTATGCTGACCTCTTGGAAACTTTACAGGGTTTCTGATTTGAGAGCAGATACTGCCATAGAGTGTGCAAGCCTTTGCCTGAGAACCCACTTGGTTAATAGTCCCAAGCCTCTCTAATTGCATTTATTGTTTTTTTGAATTGTATTATTTGCGCTGAGGTAACACTGATTTACAACACTGCAGATGATTTTCAGGTACAGGCTGACAGAAATAATCTTGTACAGTCTACTGGACCCTCTTCTTCCTTTGCTCCCAAACCCCCATCTCTATTTCTGAAAGCCTCAATCCTACAGGCAGATTTCTAGGTTTTCTTTTGGCTATGTTTTAGCTGTGCCTTTGTTTTTGTTTCTTTATATTCCACATGAGTGAAATCACCTAATTAGTATGGTAATTGTCTTCCTCCTTTCGACTTAATCTCACTTAGCATAATCCCATCCAGTTCCCTCTGTGTTGTGGCAAATGACAACTGTCATCATTTTCGTGGCTGAGTACTATTCCATTATATATCTATACTGGAATTGTCAAATTCCAGTATACTTCAGAAATGACACTTTTGACAAATATTCAAACTTATAATGAATCATTTTACATGTTAACAAAAATGTGTATAATTCCATGTATATGATGTTACAGAACAGGCCAAATGAATCTCTAGTAAAATATTTGCCTCAAGGGGCAGTAGCAACATGAATTCACTAGGAAATGGTACATGAGAGTTTTCTGGGGGTGAGATTAATATTCTATATTTTAAGAGGTTTGGTTAAAAAGCAAAAACACTTGTCAAAATCATCAACTGGTATACCGATAATGTGTCTTTTCTTTGGTATGTAGATTCTCTCAAAAAAAAAAAAGAAAAAAAACTACATACAAATATGTGACCTCTGATTAATGTTCTACATGCTAAAGAACTCTGAGAGTAAATGTATTGCTGTCTAAGGTTGATGTGGAATTGTGTTAAAGTGACAGGTGGACAGACATGGAGATGGGTAATGGAAGAACAGCAAACTGTTCATTGTAGAATCTAGGTGTGAGTATATGGTGTTCACTGCTCAGTTATTTCTCCCTCTCTGTGTCTGAAAATATTCATGATAAAATATGGAGGAAATGTACCAAGAGAATACAATTGTTCATGTTTTTAGGGAATGTGTGGCCAAAGTTTTAATGATCATTGGTTTCCATAATCGCTATTTGCAAATGAATCTTTAACCTAATCTTAAGAGCCCAAAGCTCCCTCTAGAATCCAAATTGTATTTCCATCCACCTCCAGGGGCACTCCATCTGGATTTCCCATCCCAGACTTTAAAGTTCCAAGTGTGAATGTATTGTCTTTCTATTTCAGTTGGGAACAGCATCAGCTACAAGTAACAAATGTAAGAGTCTAATAAAACCAAGGTTATTTTCCTTACAAACAAGAAGTCTAGGCATCGGCAGCTGGTTTTGGCACGGGGATCCCACGGCCTCTTGGTTGGCTGGTCTGTAGGTCTCTTGGCCTTCCCTTCCCTGTAGTTACAAAGTGTTCTACAACTCCGGCATGTGTCTGAGTTCAAGACAGGAAAAAGGGGGAAAGACTAATTCCAGACACAATTGAACTTTTTATCAATGTTTTCCAGAAACCTCCCAGCCGACTTGCACATAATCCCATTATTCAGAGCTGGACCAGATGGTCACCCTTAACTGCACAGCAAATCAGGAAGCAAGGACTTACCATTCCTCTCTTGTCAACCGGATGGAGGGCTGGGCAAGGGGAGAGCCCATCCTTAACATTCTCCCAAACTCCCTATGCTTTGTGCATGGCTCCAAGGCCTGCCTAGTTACCCATGAAAGAAGCCCAGGTTCATCCTTTCCTGTTTTTTTATCATATCTCATCTGTCTTGATCGCTCCTCACCTTTGACTCTCAAATCTGAGCCTTGTTCTTATATCCACAGTCACTATCTTGATTCAAGCTCTCATTGGTATCTGACATACTATAATAGTTTCTTAATGAGTCCCAAGTCTTAACTTCAAATCACCCTCCAAGTAGCCCCCAATTCACACACTCTAAAAATAGAAATCTAACCATCAAATCCCTGTCTTATCTCAGCTTGATGGCTTGCATAATGTCAAGTTAAAGGCTAGTTCATTATTGTGTCATTGAAGGTAATTCCCTACTCTCATGTGATAATATCCTCTTGAAAAATATGTTATCTGTTAGGATGCCCTATTCTGTCGGGGGTCAGTTCTCCTAAGAGAGAAGTTTGTGGAGGAGATGGGGGTGAGGAAACTGTACTCAATATCTCAATCAGAGTGTTAGGAAGACAAAATCTGTGTCTAATATATGCATGCTAAAATAGCACAAAAGAACAAGGCCTCTGTATAATAGGGGTTCTGTTCTCAGACATAATCTCTAAATGTATTTTGTCTTGCAGGCATAAAATTTGGCAATATGTTCAAAATAGAATGTCAACAATATATTTAAAGTATAACATCATTACTGTTCATTCAGGTCTGAGATGCACTGAATGCTCACCATAGACTAGACACTACTTTTTAATTTGGTTCTTTTCCTTTATAATAGAACAGCGATGAGAGAACAATATGTTTGATTGAAGTTAAAGAGATGCTCTTTCTGCCTACCTAACGACTTCTCTGTTTCTGTATTTCATTATTTGAGACTTATGCTTATTACCAGAATCAGCACCTTCATTTTTCAGTCTTCTACTCATTTTCCTAAGTAAAAGTCACCACTCATTCAAACAAATGTTTAAAGACCTAGACAGAGGCAAAGAAAGGAAAGCAGTAGAACCTACTGGTAGACTGATAGAGTCTAGCACAGTCACAGCTGGCAGTACGAAGTGCTCACTCTGTACCAGGCACTGTCCTAGGCACTTTACAGAGAGGAACTCATTCATTTCCACAATTCTGTAGGGTCGGTACTATTATCTCCATGGGCCAGGAAAGCTAGGACATTTTTGCACTTTGTCATTTGACTGGAAGCTGAGCCCTAGTACCTTTAGGGCTAACTACAGAGGTCATGTTTCCTTAGGAAGCCTGTTCTCTCTACTCCTAGGTTGCAAGGTTGCAGCACTTGCTGGACTGTTTTTCCTCTCTGTCCAGACTCATCCTTAGAGACCGGTCAGCCTCACTCTGGCAGGCAAAGCTTTCCCTGCACGATTCCAGGAGCGTGGGCCTTTCAGACCAGCCTCCTCACCTTGTTACTTTTTTTTTTT